CGGGGGCCGGTGTGAAGCCTTCTTTGCCCTGCAGCCGCTTCCCACCGAGAGGGAACAGCCGGAGGATCCTCCGGCTGCCCCAGCCCAGGAATTCAGGCCCAGCGCTCCGCTTCCCAGCACTGAAGTGCAGCCCTCAGAGACACATTGCGACCATCTGCCTCAGCCGCAGCCTCGCGCCGGAGCGTCCGCTCCACAAAAGCCCGTTCTCACGCCAGCGGCCGCCGCGGGGCGCAGCTCCTTCCCTTCCGCTCCGGATCCGCGTTCCTTCCCACAGCGTCTCCGGAGCGCTGGTTCCACACGACAGCTCCGCTCCGCTGCAGGCAGCTGCTCCGCCAACCCCCGGGCCGGCAGGGCTGCACCGGCCGGAGCCGCGCGGCTGCAGGCAGGCGGCATCGCCCCTTCCCCGGCGCAGCGACGCGGCAGCACCGTCGTCCCCCCTCGGAAGCTGCCGGGGGGCTGACACTCTCGTGCAGCCCCATGGTCTCCCCACAGCCTCTCAGGACACGGCAGCAGGTACCGCTGCCCTTGGGGATGCAAACATGCAGCTGCCCCTTCCCACAGACACCGTCCCCACCACAGAGAGGTTATTTTGGGCCTCCTGGCTGGCTCCTCGGGCGCGCTCCGTACCTACAAAGAGGACGAGACACGGCCCCTCGTTGAGCTGCACGGCGTTGGAGTCCGTCAGCTCCAGCACGGGCTTGGGGTGCCAGGGGAACTCGCGACACTCGATGTCGTTCAGCACTTCCACTCGCCCCTGCCGCGTGATCACGTCTCCCTTGGGGTCCAGCACGATGAGAGTCGGGATGCCTGCAAGGGAGAGCACACGGGGGCATCACCCACAGCACCCGCACGCGAGCCAGGGCGCCGGGGAAGAGCCACCAGCTCTGGTGGGAGCCCAGGGCCCACGCGCCCTCCTGCAGCTCGTGTGTGACCTGGGAATGGGGGACCCTGGAGCCGTTCCCGCCCCAGGAGAGGGCTGGGAGGCCAAGCAGGGAGCCAGGCGCTTCGGCACTGCCCTCCTTTCCCCTTGGGATGCAGGACTGCCAGCACGGGCGGTCTTGGGGACATGCTCCCCCGCGCCAGACAGGGACTCTCCTCCAAGGCTCGTCCCACCTTGCAGGTCCGTGGAATGAGAGGCTCCTCCGGTGGGGAAGGCTGGGCCGCCCTCGGCTCTGCGGCACGGCTGTTGGGAAGAGCTCACCCACTGGGGCATCTGCTGAGCGGGGTGACGACCGCGCTCCCCGCTGCAGCTCCTGGCCCCGCAGACCAGCGGGTCCCTCAACCCCCGCACGCGGCCGGGCGCCGGCGCTGCCGCATTCCCCTCATTCCAGCGCGCACAGCGCCGCTCCACATTCCTGCCCGCGCCCGCTGCCAAGCACTGTGCTGAGGAAGGAATTTTAAACCACAGAGAGGCTCATTCATTACCTGCTGGTATCCCGGAGAGCCCCGGGGCAGGGATGGGTTAAGCTGAGCTGGGAACGGCACTCCAGCCCCATGCTGCAAGGAAGAGCAGCACCAGCTATTCCTGCGGCCACGGGAAGCACATGAGCAGCATCCTGCATGACTGGGATCTCTATGTATTAGGATTCCCATTCCCATGCCGACTGCCCCTCTAGTCCCGCACCGAGAGGCTGGCAGAGGGACAGCCCGCAAGCCAGGCGATCCGCGTTGCCGCCCGGCGGGATGCACTGAACCATTCCCGAGGCTCCCTTTGCCAGGCACCCTGAGACCCCGGGCACACCGCAGGAACGCCCTAAAATTAGCCCTGCTGAGCCAGGAAGTCTTAGGGGCTGATGTTGACACCCAGTTTATTCTGCAAGAACGACCTGCAGCCACCAGCGATTTCACACATGACTCCAAGCACCCGGATGTCACCCGCGCCGCGGACGCACCGCAGAGCGCCCAGCCACAACCGCGGCCCGTGCACAGGGGATGTCCAGGGCTGGGCCAGCACCGACCCTGCCAGCAGCCCCTCCAGGCAAATCCCTCTCCCTGACAGACATTTCCACTCCTAGCCCCGCACAGCAGCCCCTGCTCAGCCACCTCCATCCACTATTTATTTCTTCAGAGCCTTTCGGGGACTCTGGTAATTGCTGTGAGTCGTAACAACAGAATCTACTTATCAAGAAGAATCGTAAATCAGCTGTTCCGCAATGAATATTGTATGGGCACAGATTAGAATTAACATAGATGGGCTCGGCTTCGTTTTATGCATTAGAAAATGGATTTGATTCCCACAGGGCTGGCTTTTTACGAAAACACAGGGGCCAAACGATTTGTTACTGAGCCTGACAACGCATTTATTTATTTATATATTAACCCCCCCACCATCTGACATGGAAATCTGATCTGCATTAAATCTGTTGGCTGGGTAATCAAATCACTGCGAGGAAAAGGTGCAGAGCAGACGCCAAGGGCAGCCCGGGCTGGGGCTGCTGCTTGCTCAGCCCCGCTCCAGCGACGCGGTGCAGGGTCCGTTCGGCAGGAGGGAGCTGGGGCACAGCCCGGAGTAGAGAGGCAACCACAGAAACACGTTTCTCCAGACCCCCCAGCAAAGCCCCGGGAGCTGCCACGGAGCAGCGGTGGCTGCGCAGGAACTCGCGGTATCTCCCAAGGGCACAATCCCTATTCGGGCACAAATGTTATCCCTGTGGCACAAGGAGGAGAGCTCAGGTTTAGGGAGCCCCGCGGCGCAGGAGCTTCCGTCGCTTCCGAGCAGCCGCGATGAAGGAGCGACCCTGCCAAGACAGCGCTGGGCCCAGGAGCGCTTCCGGAGGTGGCCGTGGCACGGCCCACGCCTCCGCAGGGCTCCCAACGGGGCACTCGAGCAAATCCCAGCTGTGTTTTGCACCGGGGGGTTGAATGCTGCAGGGGACACCACAGCACCAGAACAAGAGCTGCCCGTGTTGCCGCTTGCTCCCACTCGGCAGCTCCAGCGGCTGGGGGGGACGAGCTCTTGGGTTCTTTCATCCCGGGAACAGCTCTGGCAGCCCTGCAGAATCGGTGCGGGTCCCGGAGCCATCCCTGTGAGCCCAGCTGACACCGATCCCCCTTTTCCCTCAGGCGGGATCCCAGCAGCGGAGCTGAGCCGAGCCCGGACATCTCGCTGCGCTCACAAATATTGACATTTGCAGGTCGGCACACGCCGACGGGAGGCGTTTGAGGAGACGGGTGTCCCGGGCAGAGCCGCTGTCCCCGTCTCCCCGGGCGCGGCGGCCCAGCGGGCAGCGGTCCCGCCCCGCAGAGCTCTGTATAAACAGGCTGGGGAACGACAGGTGAAACTGGAGTTCGCTGGCCCCAGGGGACGGTCATTAAGCACAAACCGTCCGCTCTTTTGAGCGGGCAAACAGTTACCCTCGGTTCCAGGCTGGAACAGGGCATGGCCGCGGCCCGCACGCTCAGCCCAGGGGGGCTGTTTGTGGAGGGCTCCAAGGAGGCCCCGTTTCTCCTGCCCGTTGAGCTCCAGCCAAGTGTTCTAATCAGGGAAGCCCTCCGCCCCAGGGGACGGTCATTAAGCACAAACCGTCCGCTCTTTTGAGCGGGCAAACAGTTACCCTCGGTTCCAGGCTGGAACAGGGCATGGCCGCGGCCCGCACGCTCAGCCCAGGGGGGCTGTTTGTGGAGGGCTCCAAGGAGGCCCCGTTTCTCCTGCCCGTTGAGCTCCAGCCAAGTGTTCTAATCAGGGAAGCCCTCCTGTTAATGCCAGCGCAGGCGGGTAACGGAGCTGAAGGGCAGAGCCAGGGAGGCTGAGATCACCAGGAGGGCCCGGCCAGGCCCTCAGCTGCCTTTGGTGATGCTGCTCCTGCGGTGCCTGCAACCCACCCTCATCCAGCGGCCTCTGCGCTGCGGAGGAGACACACGCAGCCTCCAGCAGCACCAAGGCCTCCAGGCCCTCACGCAGCAACCACAGCTACAGGTGGGAGACCCCCTTGCCAGTTATTTACCTTGCACGTTGCTACACTGCAGCTTGTCCCCTGCACGACCAGTGTGCCGGTCCCACGGGCGCTGCCGTGAGCCGTTATCCTCCGAACACTTTGAAAACACCCAGACAGACAGACAGACTCTCCCCCTGCTCCTCGGAGCAGCTGAGGCTGCTGCGATTCTGGCCCTGACACGCACAGTAAAGGCAAAGCCGTGGTTTACATCAAACGGGCTCTTCTCTGCCTCATCTCACTAACATAAACCAGATGCCATCTTGCTCTACGGAGAGCCATGGCCTGCCTCTGCAGTGCATGCAACAGCAAGAAAATGAAATTTAAACCTTCCAGAAAAGGCCAAACAAATAAATCAATAATTAGGCAGAAAACATGCAAGCCAAAAACATCTTCCAAGTTTCCAGGAAGAATGAGGTTGTTTATGGAAGTGCTGTTTCAGCTAAGAGCCTGCCTGGCAGGTGGTAGGAATGTGAGTGTGCGGAGGGCAGAAACCCGAGGCAGCTCTGCCTAGGGCACTCTCCCTTGTTGTGTCCTTGTTTCAGTTAAACAAGAGGAGACATCGCAAATATCCAGCAAAAGCAGCAGGAAGGAGCAGTGCGTCATCGGGGCCGTTCCTACCTTGGATGCCGTAGAGTCGGTTGAGGCGCGACCGCCTGGCCTCATCCGCGTAGGGCACCGCCAGCCAGGGCATCTCGCTGAAGTACTGCTTGAAGGAGTCCTCCGACCTGCACGGGGAGCAGCGCGTGGCAGCGGCCTGCAGCCCGACCGGCCGCCCTCTCCTCCTCCTCCTCCTCCTCCTCAACCCCGGCCTGCAAAGCCCTTCCTGCACTCCAAGCCCCACTGGGGTGGGCTGTGGGCACCTGCGCAGAGCTGTGCCACACTGACAGCTCACAGGCCCTCCAGAAGGGCTCTGCGGGGCATTTTTTTTTTCCCCAAAACAGTATATCGGGCTCTCCAAGGCACCTGCGGACTCATCTGCTGCAACAGACCCACAAGTGAAAACTAAAGAGCTGCTCCCTGAACAGAGCTTGCTCTGCACCCCGGGGTGTCCCCTCTGATCCCCCCCTCAATGATCTGCAGGGCAGAACGTGAAGGACCTGGACAGACTCTCTGGCACCAGAGCCAACTTGCTCTAAGAGCACACAGTGCTAAACCCCAGCACCACCACCTTCCTCCACTGCCATCCTAATGCCTCAACCTCCGTCTTCTGCAGGTCGACGTGCTCCCCTCTGAGCAATTTACCTGTCTTCTCTAAGCCCTTGTACCATTTTCAGAGCATTTTCCTCCCCAAATGAGAGTGCTTGAATGAAACACGGGACAGAACTAGCCCCAAGCCGCCTGCTATAACTCACAGTTCTCCCCAACTGCGAAGCACAAGGTTTTCCTAGGGTTTTTCAGCAGCAAACACCCTGCTCTGCTCATCTGTGCACCCACAAACCACAGATGGTCTCGGCCCGAGACAGCCAGCCCCACCGGCACAGAGCGCGAGCGCTTCGTTACCTGTCTGCACTAACGAAGAGGATCTCAAACTTCTGCCCTGCCTCCTTGATTTTCCGGTAGGACTCCACGAGGACCCTCGTGAGGCTTCGGCAAGGCGGGCACTGCAAAACACAACGCGCCATGAGCCCCGTGTCCCCAGCACAGAGGGCTGGACTCGCACCCCGCTTCACAAACAGGCCTCAATGAGTGAGACAGCATCGAAGGCCAGTCCCCATCCCGTGTTTTCCGGAGCATCAGGAGGCAGCCTGGCTGCCTAGGAAGTGTCTGGTGCTCCTGGCAATAGTTCACCGGTTGAGTTGCTGGTACTCACCCAGTGTGCTGAGAAATAGACCCCGACATGGGAGCCCTCCAGGACGTTGCTATCTAGCGACTGGCCGTTGTTCCTTAGCAGAGGCCCAGCAACAACTTCACTGAAGGGCTTTGGCCCCCAGGGGAACTCCAGACCTAGGGGAACAAGGCACAAAACATCAAGGTACACGTGAAGCATTCACAGTCTCACAAAGTTTCACATCCTGCATGCCACCAAGACACGGAGGATCCTGTGTGGGAGACCTACCGAGGTTCCTCCCTGTCCCAGCGTTTCCAGCCCTATCCCACACGCACCCGCTCCCCTGCTCCAGCCGCCTCTGCTTGGGGAGGCCGTGGCCTCGGTGCCCCATGAGGCTCATTTTCCTCACCACCAAGGCTGGTGTCAGCAACGGCAGGCGAGGTGCTGCGTGCTCGGGAATGCCCACAGGCCATTTGCCACGGACACATAAGGATGCTTAGCCCAATCCCAGCCTCCTGGCGCCCCTGCTTCACACCAGCTGCAATTTGACAGTAATTGAGGAGCAGATGGTGCAGGACTCACCGCCACAACCCCATTTCCTCTGTATTTAAGGCTTTAATCATAGCAACTCCCCATGCCACTGAGTTCCTTTTTCTTTTCTTCTTTATTTCTTTCCCCCCCTGCAAAGTTGGACATGCAGGTGCTTCTGGAGCTTATCCTAACCCCCTGTCCCCCAAAGCATCTCCTGGCATCTGCTCCCAGAGCAACCCATCTAAATACTGAGTTGGAGCTGAGGAATCATCACAGATGGCTCAACTACAACTTGCGCTTGCGACACAGTTCCTGCCACCTGAATTAGACTAGTCACTGTTTTCATACCTTGCAGGAACAAATGACAGGTTGGCAGTATATTTGCACTGACAGGCTAAATGCTGCATGACAGGTCTGCAGGTTTATTTTTCTGCAGAATCTATGAAGAAGGGCACATATTTGCTCATTTTGGTTTTGGCAAAGAGGAAGAGAATGAGATTTTACATTAACTCTCAGCACAGTAAAGCTCAGAAACAGAAAACAACAGCATTTGTCTGCCTCATTTGTAAATAATGAGGGAATTCATTATCCTAACTGACTGCGATATCCGTGATAAAAACCCGCTCAGTGTTTTGGAAAGGTGTGGGAAGTCTGGGCCCTCAGTCTGTCTCTCCACATACTTCCATCAGTGGAAATCTACACTTCATGTTTCAGTTAGTCTAACTTCTCCCCGTTAGCACTTCAGACACAAATCCTGGAGGGAAAATCTTTGTTCTTTTCAACAACCAAAACCAAAATACAAGATCTAACAGGAATGATGCAGTTTTATGCTGAAAATAATGCAGCGCCTTGATTAGTCAAATATGGCAGTAGTAGCTTGTTTCCTTTTTTTTAGCTTCCAAGGCAAGGGCCAGGGAACTCAATTAAACTCAATTAAAAAGGCCACAGGTTGCCTAGGTTAGCGGGGCACCCGTGGCTCCCGTCTCACCTTCAGGGTCATCGCGGATCACCAGGAGGCCGTTCCTGCAGACCACCTTCCCAGTGGCGGCATCGATAAATATCAGGGAAGGAATGTTGGAGACTCGGTACTTGTTCCACAGCTTCAGCTGGAAAAGAGATGGGAAGGGAAGACAGAGGGAGAGGAATGGTAAACTCAGCAGTTCCAATGGGGCGTTTTGGGGATTGGCTTCTCCCACGTGAGGGGTCAGAGCTAAGTAAAGAAACAAGAGCAGATGCTTCAGCATCACGTTGGGGGGCATCTCTGCAGACCCCCGCAACAGCCGGGACTTCCAAAGCCCGAAGCAACGGGCTGCACCTCCGCTGCCCAGGGACCACGGCTGCTCCCACCACGGGCAGAGAGGGGCGGCTCTTACTGCGTTTGCTTCTCGGCAAGTACGAGGAGGGATTCATCCCCTCCGCGCTGCGGTCAGAGGAGCAGTCCCAGCTGAGCTGCTCTCATCCCCGTGCTCGCCACAAGCGTTTCGGCCTAAGGAACACAGCGGTGAGTTATCAAACTCCGAAGAAAATCTAATCACAGCAGAGCCACAAGGGGAGGAAACGAATCCTGTTGTGCAAACCCTCCTGGGCTCCAGATCCACCGTTCGTTTGGGCCAGCAGAGAGCCAAGGCGAGAGCAGCAGCGGGAGGACATCAACCCAAACCGGCACCAGGACACACGGAGCACCGCTGTGTGTCCATCCCGGATCGGACCGGAGACACCCCCACGGCACACCGTGCTCTTCCCTCATCTCCGAGGGAAACAGGACCCAAATGTTTCCACTGCAGAATAGGCTGCAGCTCTGCAGATCATCTCAATTTAGAATTAGGGACAATCCTATTTCTCAGGATTTGAATAATCCCGGGAACAGGACAAGCAAGAGCAGGGAGGGCTGCAGCCTCCGGGTGGAGCAAACTGGGTCTCTGTGTGTGCTGAGCCAGAGATCCAGGTGAGGGAGAGAAGTCACAAAAGTGTTTAGATTTTAATGGCAGCTTATGAGTTATTTCTTACAAAATCTTTCTACAAAAAGGTACCTGAATGAGGCTTTGTGAGCTGGCCTAACTGCAACATGGTGTTATCAAAATCCTCTTGGGTCTAAAGGAAAATATTAACCAGATCCAGGAGGAGTTTATTAACCTCCATCTGCTAAGACCTGGAGAAATACAGTGCTTCATGCCCAGCCCACCAGCCCTGGATTCCTCACACACAGATTTCTTGGGCCAAGCTGACTCATCCTTAATGCTGATGCACAAACCAAATGGCCTGGGGCATAAAAAAGGAGAATAGAAAATGCTACTAAATGCAAACCAGCCCCCTTGCAGCGAGCGTGTTCAAACCGCAGAAGATAAAATCCAATTCTGTGAAGTTTAAGGGGTGGAGAAAAGCTCTTTATAAGGATCACAAGCATTTTAGAGGGTGTTGCAAACAAGGAAGAAATTACAGCTAGCAATCGGATAGCCCTCTTTAAATAGTACTTAAGTTTTACTTCATTTTGCCAAGTCCTTTGTATAAGGAAAGCAGTTCCCCTCAGGGCACCGCAGCGGATTGTAGCAGTTCTGCTTGGCCGAGAGCGCCGACGGGGCCCGCGCGGCAGAGCCAAGCGGGGAAAGCAGCTGCCCCTTGGAGGGATGGGGCTGGGATCCTCCGCATGAAGGGGGAAAACCACAGGAGATCCGCTCCAGCTGGGAGAACCCGCCGGCTTTGGCTGGCCCTGGGTCTTCTCCGGCTGTGGGAGGTGCCACGACCCAGCCTTGCAGTGGTTTGAATGGCATAAACAACCCAAACTGGGGATGAAAAACCTCTTCTAATACCCTGTTCACCTGCCTTGGTATTGTGGTTCCTGCGGATCACCGCACTGATTCCAATGAATTTCCCCTGGCGAAAGGCTGCGGAGCTGCCCAACAACTTATTGTTCAGGGCCCCGGTTAAGACATGGATGAACAAACAAGACGACTGCACTTACGAACTCGGGAATGGGGCTGCCATTTTAAGACCGGAATTGCAAATTAGTGGTCTCGAAGCACTAACAACATTAATTTTGCTGTCTGTATTAGAAAGCACTGTGCCGTTCAAAGCCAGAGCAGTTGGATTTGATGATTCTCCTGTGCATTAGGAAAGCTGATTGGAAATGAAAAACGCATGCACTGAGGGACGAGCGCCAAGATCTCCCCCATCCCCATGGCCTCCTTCAAGCAGCCTCCACACCCAAACGCATCAGACACTTCTGAAGACCAAGTCCAACAGCTCATGGTACTGCAGGGCTGGCCTGAAAGCAGGAACCTGGATGGGAAACAGCCTCGACGACGACGTTCTCCACTTGTTCTTATTCCTGGGATTGGGTTTTCCCTGGGGAGTGCAGCCTGCCTCCCGGCGGCCCCCATCCCATGGCAAACTATCCCAGCAGCTTCTCGTGCTCAAACCCCAGGGGTTTCCACATGTGCAGCCTGAGGGAAGCCTGTCCGAGCGCCTCCTTGCTCCTGCTGGGCGCAGGATGAAAGGCAACAACGGCAGGGCCGCTTCTGCAGGGACACCCGGCCACGGCACGGCGCTGAAGGGGAGGATGGCTGCAAGCCCGAGCAA